GCAAGCACGTGCATGTGCAAGTGTCAAAAGCATCGGAACAGACTCGTCGCCAGTGTGTTGCATAGGGGTGAATGCAGTGAGTGCTGGTACCCCAGCCACAGCAGTTAACTGGTACCAGAGGGTTCGGTGCGGTGTGCTGTAGTTGCAGTGAGCAAAAAGGAGTGGTTACCAGCGGGTGCTGCTGGAGTGTCTTGAGCTGCAGCACGGCAAGAAGGTCGTTTGTCACCCTCACGTGCTCCTGAGCGGCAACCCCAAAGACGAGACCGCGGGGGAACAGATAGGGAAGGAGGATGGCAGGCCGAGAGAAACGGTTCAGGAAAAGAAGAAGGCAATCACGGAGGGCTGTAAGTGGTAGCTGAGAGGGCCGCGCTGCATGCTCCTTCCCTGCCCACCTGCGCCAGGGTGGCTCGTGTGTAGACTGTGGCCAGCAGCAGGCGCGTGATGGCAGCCTCCCTCTCCCGCACCCTCCGCACCTCCTCCCGCACTCTGCCACATGCGGGGGAGTGGGTGGTCGGGCGAGCGGGTGGGAGGGAAGGCAGGCAGGCAGGCAGGCAGGAACATGGCTCTTCACTCGCAAAGCTGGACCTTGGAAAACGCTCGAAGCAGCTTCAAGCAACAGACATGTAGACATTCTTGTGGAAAAAACATAACATTGACAAGACTAAAAGAGGGGTCACCTGAAGGAACATCGTACCAGATCATTCAAGTTTCGGCCTGCCGAGTTCAAATCATTAAAGCCTTTATGAGTGCATTTAAGGAACTACAACAAAATTCTTTCAATAGAAGCAGGCCAAGTAGCAAGCGACTGCGGCCATGACCAGTTTTATCCGTGCATGACAGCTCACCGCGTGACAGCTCACCGCGTGACAGCTCACCGCATGACTGCTCACCGCGTGACAGCTCACCGCATGACAGCTCACCGCGTGACAGCGTCAGTGTCAGTGTTGGAGGCATCGTCCCCGAGGCTCACTGCAGGGAGGCAGAGGGCACACGGAGGCAGAGGGCACACGGAGGCAGAGGGGAGGAGGGGAGGAGGGGAGGAGGGGAGGAGGGGAGGATGCACGCAGAGGCCAGAGAGACGCAACCAGGGCAGTGGGTTGGTTGTGATGCATGTGTTGACAGGGTTAGGGCTCACATGATGCTTGTTGCACGCAACACATATTCCCATTTCAGAGGCTGCTCCACTAGAATTTCCAGACCAGGTATTGAATCACAGGTGAGGCTGTAGGTAGGTGGTACACGTTGATGCCTGTCGTACTCGTATACTCACCAAATAAAATCACAACACACTCAACACAGTCACATCACACTTGATACAGTCGCATCACAATGAACACAGCACATTGATATACAGTCACAACGCACACTGAATGAAGGTCCTGATGTTGGCTGCAGACGACGCCACTGCATCGATGACGCGCTGCTGCAGCCTCGTCTGGCACGCCTTGTTCTGCCACGCAGCCACACACACGTGGCACCACTGCTGAGCGCACAGTGCCGTAGCACACAAGCACACAACAGCAGCATGTGATGATGGCGGAGAGGCCTCCAGTGCTGCACATCACACGCTACATCCGTTGCACTTCCCCCCCCCCCTAATTCGCTACACGCCCCGCCTGAATCACTCTTCGCCTTCACCACAGCTGTAGCGCCACGGCCCTCTCGGCTCGGCACCCCCACGGCCTTGCCAGGCCCAGCGGCTGACCTGCTCTACCATGCACTGCCTGCCCACCGCCATGGCATGTGACTCACCGCAGCAGCCGTGGCAGCAAAACGCTGCAGGCACCCCGGCTCCACTCCCAGCAGGTGCTGCCGCGATTGCTCCAACCGCCCTGCCAGCCCTGCTGGCTGGGCGTGCGAGAGCGGGTGTGAGGGGGCGCCGCGCGCGGGTGCAGCGAGGGGCGTGGTGGGCGAGGCGGGGGGCACGGCGAGCGTGGGGTCGAGCGTGCTGCTCAGGTATGCCAGTACCTGCAGGGGGAGCACGGGGCAGCACACACGAGGGCAATGAAGGGGAACGTACTGTAAGAAAGTCGGTGCAGTGGATCAAGGGACACAGCGCATCGGGACACAGCGCATCGGGACACAGCACATCGGGACACAGCGCATCGGGAACCGAGAAATAAAATCATTTCCGCTGCCACCTTCGAGCGCGTCCCCCCATGCACCAATAACCACGCCCTATCCCATATGTACCCTCACTCATCCCCACCTCCAACGAATTCTCTTCAACTCATTCTCTCCCCCACTCACCACGGTCTGCCCTCTTCCTCTCATCCCTCACCGCGTTGTGCGCGTGCGGGGCATGGGCGCCCTCCGCGCTCTCCTCACTGTACACCTCCGCCACCGCCGCCTGCACCACCTGCCCCCGCGCCCACGCGCACGGGAGCACCGGGGGTGGACGCACGGGGAGGGGCGGCAGGGAGGAAGGAGAGAGCTTTGAGACTTGTACAGACGTGCCCCCGTCTGTGCAGCACTGCCCACCGCACCCTCATAACACATGGGGGAAGAGGGCTGGGGAGAAAGGGAGGGAGGAGAAAGAGAGTGGAGTGGAGAGGGGAGAAAACGTATGAGGTGGTGGCATGAGAGTGGACGGGAAGAAGCGGAGGCATGGGGTGATGTAAGTAAGTGCATGGGGTGATGTAAGTAAGTAAGTGCATGGGGTGATGTAAGTAAGTAAGTGCATGGGGTGATGTAAGTAAGTGCATGGGGTGATGTAAGTAAGTGCATGGGGTGATGCAAGTAAGTGCATGGGGTGATGCAAGTAAGTGCATGGGATGATGTAAGTAAGTGCACGGGGTGATGCAAGTAAGTGCATGGGATGATGTAAGTAAGTGCATGGGGTGATGTAAGTAAGTGCATGGGGTGATGTAAGTAAGTGCATGGGGTGATGTAAGTAAGTGCATGGGATGATGTAAGTAAGTGCACGGGGTGATGCAAGTAAGTGCATGGGGTGATGTAAGTAAGTGCATGGGGTGATGTAAGTAAGTGCACAGGGTGATGTGAGTGCATGGGGTGATGTGAGTGCATGGGGTGATGTGAGTGCATGGGGTGATGCGAGTGCATGGGGTTGTGCGCAGGGAGAAGCGGGGCACGGAGCAGAAGCAGTGATGGAGAAGCGCGAATCGGATAGGCTGTTTAACCCAACACTTTTCTCCTCCAACCCTCCATTTCACTTTCCCCCCAACCACCGCGCGCATCTCACCCGCTGCTCCAGGTACTGCCGCTGCGCGTCCTCGCGGTCCACGATAATCTGCCAGGCAGCCACTCATGGACGCACACGTGGCACCGCCAATCAAGCAAAATAATATCAGCCATACGTGAGCCAGAGTAAACGTAAGAGAGACGGGTAGACAGCTGGAGCAGCGCAAATTGAACAAGCAAAACAAGAACGCGATTCGACACCGCAGGCCGCTTCGAGGCGACTCACCGAATTCATGGCCGTCCGAGGCACCGCCTCCCGCACCGCACCGCACGCTGCACCGCGCGCTGCACCGCGCGCACGGGCGAGAAAGGCTGGGGTGAGATGGCGCTGCCGTACGAGTCCACACGGAACACACAGCCCAGCGACAGGTCAGGCAGCGACGTGCGGCGGACAGGTCGATCTGCTTCGTGAATCGTGGTGCTCGGGAAGGGGCGACGGGACGATATGCATTTGATTTCTCGAAGGACGCAAACGTAGACTAGATGGCGAGGTAGCTTCACTCACCTTCGCGATTACACTGACTAGCTTGTGTATACGTTCGTATTAGAGAGCGCTGCTCCCGAGCATGAGTGACGGTTGGGGCGATAGAACCGAGACAGGCAGCGCGATCGTGGCGACTGCGAAACGCGCGGGAAGGAGAGAAGTAGAAAGAGGGTGATGTTAGGGCGCGTCAGATCCGTTACAAGGTGATTTGGTCGACAGTTTGGTCGACAATATCTTTCGCCAAAGTCGACAACATGGTCGACTTCAATAACGACCAATATCCGGCCACATTTACAGGGCCGAAAAATCTGACACATTTGGTGGCCGATTTGATGGCCGCTATGCAAATGTTTCAGATTTGCAGTTCGCCAGGGTCGCCGGATTGTGCGACGGAATCGCAGATGCAGTACTTGTGTGACACGTTGCGTCGCACGAGTTGGCGACGTCGCGTAGTGACTGTAGCGATCTCAGGTCGACAGATTGGTCGACTTTCGAGTCGACTGCACGTCGGAACTTTGTCGAATGCTGAACCGGCCATCATTTTTTTTTACAAATGGCCGGATTTGACGAACTCTTCGAAAATCTTCGCGGATGTCGCGAATGTGTTACCTTCGCTAATTCCGGCCGGCCGGATTTTCCGACAACGGATCTGACGCACCCTTATCTTCCAGTATGACAGAGACACGCGTTCAATCACGCTCCATGCAGCGGTGCATGCAGATTTGCTCTTTCCTGTCCTGCCATCCCTGGACACTATCTTTCGCCAACAATTGTCTAGTCGTTGATCTTCGCACACGCGATATAGTTCCAGAATGAGCCGAAAGTCCCCAGCCCGTCTGGAGATGTATGCCCCACCTTGAAGGCGGCGTAACTGCTTTTATCTGGTTACAGGTACATCGCAGACTAGCTCGTCAGAAGTTCGGGTGCATGTGGTAGCAGGCACTCGAAACTCGGGTGTTGTGCGTGAGCGCGAATCCGCCTGAACAATGTCCGCGTTGTGGTGTGGGCTTCAAAGTTCAATAGGGTGTTCGGAAATCTACCAGTACACTCCAGACCAAACCATGCATGAGCTTGAAGGAGCTGACCCTACTGTGTGCCTCACACAAGAATCTAACAGGACACCCGCGTTGAAAACGGCGGAGAGAATGTGCGCGTGGCGGTTAGCACTATAGCAAGCAAGTGCGGGCGAGGACGTGACGGGTTGCCAGTGCAGCGCAGGAGTGCATGCGTGCGGGCGTACTAGTTCCCCTGTCCGAACCGGATCTCGAGCGTGCAGGGGTTCCCTCGGCTCCCTCGCCGCCAGCCGCACACCCGCATGGACCCACAGCCGCGCCGCAGGTCGCCTCACGCCGCCAGCAGGTCGCCTAGTCGCGCTGCGCGTCCCAACGTCGCCACCAGCAGCGGTGGCGGCGGTTTCGATGAAACCGTTAGCCGCGGCGACGGGGCTGCGCGCGATGCGGACTTGACGCCCGCGCAGTTGGCGGAGATGGCGGAGCGACGGCAGTTGGCGCAACTGAGGGAATTGGATGATATGGCGCTGGAGGAGGAGGGGGAGGACGAGGGGGAGGAGGAGGAGGGAGGGAGGGGAAGGGGCCGAGGGTGGCACAGGTCGAGAGGCGCACTGGGGGGCGGCTTGGCGGTGGGCGCGCGCGCGGGGAGCGCGGAGGGCAAGGCGAGCGAGAGGCGTGCAGCGGCGAGCGCGGAGTGGGCAAGTGGGGAGACAAGGGGAGGGGAGGCGGTGGAGGGGGTGGAAGGGGAGGGCGAGAAGGACGCGGAGGGGAGGAGGGCGACAGGGGGAGATTCGGCTGAGGTATGCTCGGAGAAGGCGTTATGTGGTGAAAGGAGCGACGGAGGGAAGCATGGCGTGGAGGAGGAGGGAGGGCTGGGGCCAGGTAGCAGCAGGCATGGTGATGACGTGGAGCCTGGAGAGGAGCAGGAGGGCGAGGAGGAGGGGGGGGAAGATGTGGGAGAGGAGGGCGAGGTGGCGGGAGAGGAAGGCGAGGTAGCAGGCAGTTGTGAGGAGGGAGAGGGGGGAGAAGAGGGAGAGGAAGGAGAGGAAGAGGAGCAGATGGGGGAGGGAAGCGACGATGGAGAGGTGGAGGCGAGGGGCGGCGAGGAGGGAGCAGGGCGCAGGGCTGACTGTGTGCGGTGCAATGAGGTGGGGCAGGGCAGTGGCGCGGTGCAGAGAGGCATGGGCGAAGGAGAGAGGCAGGGGGGACGCGGCACAGCAGGGGTGAGGCGGCAGCAGCAGAGACAGAGGCGGCAAGTGGTGCGAGGAGAGGAGGGGGAAGGGGAGCGAATGAGAGAGGAAGTGGAGGTTGTGGTGCGTGGGAGGGGCGGCGCAGGCCAGAGAGAGGAGGCGAGGGGGATGGGGAGAGGCGCGCGGGAGGGGGCGGCGAGGGGAGGCGTGCAGGTGAGGGGAGGCGTGCAGGTGAGGGGAGGCGAGGTGGGGGCGGCAGAGAGAGCTCAGGTGCAGCAGATACGCGCAGTGGAGGGGGAGGAGCTGGAGGAGGAGGAGGAGGAAGGGGACGAGGGGGAGGCGGGAGGGGCGGGGAGGAGTGCAAGTGAGCGGCGAAGGCGAGCGTCATGGCGGGGCAGTGGGCGCGGCAGCAGCAGGGGCGCACATGGGGGCGTGCAGGCAGGTGAAGGCAGGGGTGGAGAGAGGGGGGAGGGGGGAGCACAGCAGCACCTGCTGCAGGCGTCACAGCAAGGGGATGAGGCAGGTGTGCGGGGCGGTGCAGCGGGCGGTGGAGGTGTTGGAAGGGGTGATGGCGACGGTGGAGGAGGAGGAGCAGGTGGCGGGGGGGGTGCGGTGGCGGTGGTGGTGAGTGCGGTGGAGCGGCAGCAGATCGAGCGCATCCTGGCGATCCAGGGGGAGGAGCTGGAGGAGGAGGACATGGGCGAGGAGGACGAAGAGGGGGAGGAGGAGGAGAGGGGCCGGGCAGCAGGGGGCGAGGCGAGGCAGCATGTGCTGAGCTCCAGCGACAGCGATGACCCCAGGTGCCACGTGCCTCAGGTGCCACGTGCCTCAGGTGCCACATCTCACGTGCCTTGGGCGCCACACATGTGCATGTGGCGCCGCACATGTGCATGTGGCGCCGCACATGTGCATGTGGCGCCGCACATGTGCATGTGGCGCCATGGGAGCAGCGTCCTCATGCAAAGATAGCCCCTTTTCTGGGTACGAGATGCGCAAGATTTAGAATGCCATAATTGCTACAGCACTGTCCCATCCCACTGTCAGCACTGTCCCATCCCACTGTCAGCACTGTCCCATCCCACTGTCAGCACTGTCCCATCCCACTGTCAGCACTGTCCCATCCCACTGTCAGCACTGTCCCATCCCACTGTCAGCTCTGTCCCATCCCACTGTCAGCACTGTCCCATCCCACTGTCAGCACTGTCCCATCCCACTGTCAGATTTAATATGATCTCATCCGTGGATCATCCATGCATGCAGGGGCGACGGAGACGTGTTGACATTGAGGATGCGAGGAGGACTCACATTTGATCCGGCCATCACATCGCTGCACACATACCTTGGAGGTACAGCCATGCTGCATGGTGCAACGCACATGGCGCATTGTGCATGGTGCATGGTGCATGGTGGTGCATGTATGGTGCATGGTGTCATAATCAGTTACTTGAGTTCATGTCATTACATTGTCATCACCGCTGCTCACTGCATGCATGCATGCACCACCGCTGGGCTACAGCCCTCGCGTGCCCTTCATTCATCTTACCCCATGCACTGCTCACCCCATGCACTGCTCACCCCATGCACTGCTCACCCCGTGCCCTGTGGGCAGAGGGGGACGACATCACGGGAGCACAGGCGTTTGCTGAGGGAGGCACCATTCTTCGCCTGCCCATGTTCTACCTCCAAGGTATGCCTCCAAGGTATGCCTCCAAGGTTCTCCCATTGCCATTCAGCCCTCCCTTCCCTACCCTCCCGTGCCCTTCCCTACCCTCCCGTGCCCTTCCCTACCCTCCCGTGCCCTTCCCTACCCTCCCGTGCCCTTCCCTACCCTCCCGTGCCCTTCCCTACCCTCCCGTGCCCTTCCCTACCCTCCCGTGCCCTTCCCTACCCTCCCGTGCCCTTCCCTACCCTCCCGTGCCCTTCCCTACCCTCCCGTGCCCTTCCCTACCCTCCCGTGCCCTTCCCTACCCTCCCGTGCCCTTCCCTACCCTCCCGTGCCCTTCCCTACCCTCCCGTGCCCTTCCCTACCCTCCCGTGCCCTTCCCTACCCTCCCGTGCCCTTTCCTACCCTCCCGTGCCCTTCCCTACCCTCCCGTACCTGAGTGGAACCGGTCTGTCATGTCAGCATCACTTACCATCACTCTGCACCGTGCTGTTATCACTCTGCACCGTGCTGCCCTGTGTGTCCTTCACTGTTCGCTGCGTGTGCTGCCCATGCCGTTTGTGCCGCCCATGGGCTGAGTGCAGCATGCAACCGCCATGCTCACCCGCGTCTCTCGCATGCTCTCCTTCCCAAATGCTTCACCCGCCTCCACCACCCACCAGGCATCGTGCTCTTCCCCGAGCAGACGCTGCCGCTGCGCGTGCAGCAGGCGCGATTCAGAGCCGCCGTGACCCGCGCCATGGGGGCCACTGGGCAGGCCGCCCACCTGCTGGGCGTGGTGAGGGGCGGGCCAGCACATGGTGGGGCGGCACATGGTGGGGCGGCACATGGTGGGGCGGCACATGGTGGGGCGGCACATGGTGGGGCGGCACATGGTGGGGGTGGAGATATTGGGGGATGGAGATACTGAGTGAATACATTTGGGTGACGTTGGGACGAAAGGCAATGTGGAGCTGATTATTGTCAAGTACTGCTGTTGCTGCATGCTGCGCGCCTTCGTACGTTAAGGATGAGTGGACGGATTTATCTTTCTTTCATGTGTATGTTCATGTGTGTACGGGCGTGTGAATGTGTATGTTTGCACGTGTGTGTGTGTGGGGGGGGGAGGGGGGGGTGGCGGGGTGTGTGTGTGTGTGGGTGTGCATGCATGTGTGCATGGCTGCATGTGTGCATGGTTGAATGTGTGCATGTATGTGTGCATGGTTGCATGTGTGCATGCATGTGTGCATGGACGTGTGCATGGCTGCATGTGTGCATGTGTGCAAGCAGGTGCACGTGCACATGGATCCGCATGGGTTTGACATCCGAGTGGCATCGGTGGGCACAACAGCAGAGGTGGGCACAACAGCAGAGGTGGGCACAACAGCAGAGGTGGGCACAACAGCAGAGGTGGGCACAACAGCAGAGGTGGGCACAACAGCAGAGGTGGGCACAACAGCAGAGGTGGGCACAACAGCAGAGGTGGGCACAACAGCAGAGGTGGGCACAACAGCAGAGGTGGGCACAACAGCAGAGGTGGGCACAACAGCAGAGGTGGGCACAACAGCAGAGGTGGGCACAACAGCAGAGGTGGGCACAACAGCAGAGGTGGGCACAACAGCAGAGGTGCGACATGCATGTGCATTCACCATGCACCTCTGAGCCCTGTCCACTGCCTTGTCGCCCATGTGGCCCCCATGGCTCAGATCCGGCGGGTGAGGCAGCAGGAGGACGGCAGCATGAGTGTGGTCACGAGGGGCCGCCAGCGCTTCCTCGTGCGCCGCGCCTGGATGGACCCCGACGGCTCCGTGCGCCCCCCCAACCCTGCCTCTGCCGCCCTGCCCCTCCTCTCTGTGCTTCCTTAGTGCATTCTCTGCGCCAGTGTGTGTGCCGTGATCCATCGGTGTGGACGAGGCTCATAATACCAACTGCTGCTGCACTCAAGTGCACACCACCGTCCACCCTTGCCTATTCACTCCCGTTTCCCTATAGCTATTGCTCTCTCTGTCTTTATTCAGGCCCTTCCACACCTTCTGTTGTTCCTCACTGCCTTGTTGCTTATGCTCCTTGTTCATCATCATTCTCACCGGCCCCCCACCATCTGCCCTTTCTCTCCCCCTCTCCTGACACACTCTATAAAAATCTCCCTTGGCTTATTCCCATTCCTTCCCAACCCTCCCCTCCCGTGTGCCAAGCTCTTGACAAGGCAGTTCGTGTTCCCCAAGCCGCCCTGCTCCCGCTGCCTGCCCCACCTGCGCCCCTGCGCGCCCCCCATCACCCCGTGCAGCCGGCCGCAGAGGTGCAGATTCTCGAGGACGCCACCCCGCTGCGCCTGCCACCTGGCGCCTTCTCCCGCTGCCGTGGCATGCGGGCGGCATCCTCCAGCTGCATGCAAGAGGCGGTGGGCGGCAGGGGGAGAGAGGGGGCGAGGGGTGCAGAGCAGGGCGGTGAGGGCGGGGAGGAGGGCAGGGCCGTGGGGATGGCGGACAGCGGCGAGCCGCATGGGCACCGCACAGGGGCTGCTGCAGGGGATGATGGGCGTGGGGGGAGAGGAGCGCGGATCAGGGGAGGACGTGGAGGGATTGGAAGGAGAGGGAGTGAGGAGGACAGAGTGAGGCGACGGGAGGAGAGGAGGAGGGAGCTGGTGAGGAGGCTTATAGAGCAAGGTGACCATATGGAGGGCGAGGAGGGAGGGTGGATGGATGAGGAGGAGGAGGAGGAAGAAGAAGGAGAGGAGGAAGAAGAAGGAGAGGAGGAGGAAGAGGAGGAAGACGAGGGTCAAGAGGAAGAAGACGACGAGGACGAGGAGGATGAGGAGGATGAGGAGGAGTCGCAAGGAAACGATGGGGAAAGGGAGGGGCAGGTTAGGGAGGGGCGCAGGGGAGGGAGGCGGTGGTGGCAGCGATGGGTGGCGCCCCTGAGGCACAGAGCGAGACGACGAGCGAGGGCGCGGGCGAGAGGGGGCCAGGAGCGCAGTGGAGAGGAGGCGAGTAGGGGAGGAGGAAGGGGGGCTGCTCGGGCTGACAGCGACGGCAGCGAGGCCCGGGGTGGTGGGGGCGATGGAGATGAGCGGAGAGAGGAGGGCGCGGACGCGCAGGGCGCGGAAGGAGTGCAAGGAGACGTGCGAGTGAGCAGACTCGTGGGGCTGTTTGGCGTGCGGGAGGGTGAAGCGAGGGCGGATAGCAGAGGGAATGAGGGAGAGGAGGAGGGGAGAGGGGGAGATGGGAGGGGAGATCACGGTAGCGCGAGCAGCAGGAGGAAGAGGTCAAGGTGGGAGGCGTGGGGAGGGGCGGCGGAGCGGTGGGCAATGGAGGAGGTGCGGTGGAGGAGGAGGGCGGCGCGGGCGGCGTGGCCCCACTGGGTGTACCGCATGTTCGATGCCTTCAACCTGGCCAGGCGCGTGGCAGGTGAGGCGCGTGGCAGGTGAGGCGCACTGTGAACACCAGGTTGAGTGATCGTTGTGATTCCCTTTTGACTTTTTAAATGAACACGTTGCTTTGGTGGTGTTCCTGTTGTTGGGGTGGACGTCTCTGTGACACAAGCCGGACACGAGGCGGACAAGGCCAGGCTGGAGCACACGAGATATGAATGAGCGAGGGCTGGGTCAAGTGATCAGTGAGAGGAGGTCAAGGCTGGTACGTACTTCAGAGATGGTCTGGACCAATTGGGTTGAAGACGTTGGGATTGATGGTAATCTCAACCATTGATGGTAATCTCAACCATTGATGGTAATCTCAACCATTGATGGTAATCTCAACCATTGATGGTAATCTCAACCATTGATGGTAATCTCAACCATTGATGGTAATCTCAACTCAACCATTGATGGTAATCTCAACCATTGATGGTAATCTCAACTCAACCATTGATGGTAATCTCAACCATTGATGGTTATCTCAACCATTGATGGTAATCTCAACCATTGATGGTAATCTCAACCATTGATGGTAATCTCAACCATTGATGGTAATCTCAACCATTGAGGGTAATCTCAACCATTGATGGTAATCTCAACCATTGATGGTAATCTCAACAAGAGTATTTAGCTAAAAATGTACAAGTGAGGCTGTAGTTGATGTGTAACGAGCTTCTGTGGTCATCATTGCCATGTTCTGCCCGCCCTTTACCTCCTCCCTCCCAACTGCATCCTATTCTCGCTCTTTGTATCCTCCCCCCGGCCAGATATGTGTGGGCAGCTGCTACCAGCGCAGGCGCAGCAGCTGCAGGGCCTCACGCGGACGCCAGAGGCGCTGTCGTTCGTGGTGGCGGCCAACATGCCCATCAGCGACCGCCACCGCCACAACCTGCTGCAGGTGTGCCCTCCTCACCGCCCTCTGTCACTTACGAATGTCACACGCACTTGTGCTATTTTGCCTTGATTGGTACTCAAGTATGCTCATGCTACCTGAATGCTGGCGATCGTATCGTTCATGTTGAGCAGGAGTGGGTGACGTGAGTGTGGTGTGGTGTGCATGGGTGCAGGTGGGGTCGACGGTGTACCGGCTGCAGAAGCAGATTCACCTGCTCGAGTGCATCGACCACCTCCTCTGCTCCACCTGCCGGGTACGCCTCTGCTCCACGTGCCGGGTACGCCTCTTCTCCACATGCCTTCCATGCATCAGCTTGGATGTGCTGGGCAGGAGAAATCCACACCGAAGCAACCTAAACCAATCTGAGAACAGATAGTTGAAACCCGAACCCCAAAACAATTCTACCAACTGAGCAGCCTATCGTCTGGAAACAGCGGTGGATGTTATGATGCCAGGTGTGGTATTTGCAGGCGTCACACATTCCAGTTGTGATGAAGTACGGTACGTACATAACTTGGAATGCATGGTCTTTGGAATGCATGGTCTTTGGAATGCATGGTCGTGCACTGTTCCTCTTTCCCCCTCTTCTTCTCTTCCCTCCCCCAACCCCCTCCATCCGTCCATCAGCACTGTCTGCCGCCCACCTTATCCCACAAAAGTTCATCACGCACAGCAGCATGCTTGGCAGCTTTCGGTGTGCCTTGCTGCTTTCAAACTCAACTTCCTCTCTCCCTCGTCTTCCCATTTCCTTCGTTGTCTGCGCATTGAAACGCCTCCCCACTCTCGAATGGCGAGCACAGTGCACTGCGCGTGACAGTGACCTGCCACCACCGCATCCTCCCCACACGTCTCCTTCTTCCACCGCATCCTCCCCACACGTCTCCTTCTTCCACCCTCCTCTCCTCCCCTCCCCCCCGCTCCTATGCGAGAGGCAGTGTCGGGTGGCGCGGCGCAGCGACATGGTGTGCATGAGCACGGAGGGCGCCATTAGTGCCTTTGTGAACGCGCATGGCTTCGTGCACGAGACGCTCACTCTCTCGCGCGCCAGAGGGCTCGTACTGGAGGGCAGCGCGGAGACCGAGAACAGCTGGTTCCCGGGGTAAGCCAAATGAGAACAGCTGGTTCCCGGGGTAAGCCAAATGAGAACAGGTGGTCCCCGGGGTAAGCCAGATGAGAACAGCTGGTTCCCGGGGTAAGCCAAATGAGAACAGCTGGTTCCCGGGGTAAGCCAAATGAGAACAGCTGGTTCCCGGGGTAAGCCAAATGAGAACAGCTGGTTCCCGGGGTAAGCCAAATGAGAACAGCTGGTTCCCGGGGTAAGCCAAATGAGAACAGCTGGTTCCCGGGGTAAGCCAAATGAGAACAGCTGGTTCCCGGGGTAAGCCAAATGAGAACAGCTGGTTCCCGGGGTAAGCCAAATGAGAACAGCTGGTTCCCGGGGTAAGCCAAATGAGAACAGGTGGTCCCCGGGGTAAGCCAGATGAGAACAGCTGGTTCCCGGGGTAAGCCAAATGAGAACACCTGGTTGGGTAAGCCAAATGAGAACAGCTGGTTCCCGGGGTAAGCCAAATGAGAACAGCTGGTTCCCGGGGTAAGCCAAATGAGAACAGCTGGTTCCCGGGGTAAGCCAAATGAGAACAGCTGGTTCCCGGGGTAAGCCAAATGAGAACAGCTGGTTCCCGGGGTAAGCCAAATGAGACAGCTGGTTCCCGGGGTAAGCCAAATGAGAACAGCTGGTTCCCAGGGTAAGCCAAATGAGAACAGCTGGTTCCCGGGGTAAGCCAAATGAGAACAGCTGGTTCCCGGGGTAAGCCAAATGAGAACAGCTGGTTCCCGGGGTAAGCCAAATGAGAACAGCTGGTTCCCGGGGTAAGCCAAATGAGAACAGCTGGTCCCCGGGGTAAGCCAAATGAGAACAGCTGGTTCCTGGGGTAAGCCAAATGAGAACACCTGGTTCCCGGGGTAAGCCAAATGAGAACAGCTGGTTCCCGGGGTAAGCCAAATGAGAACAGCTGGTTCCCGGGGTAAGCCAAATGAGAACAGCTGGTTCCCGGGATAAGCCAAATGAGAACAGCTGGTTCCCGGGGTAAGCCAAATGAGAACAGCTGGTTCCCGGGGTAAGCCAAATGAGAACAGCTGGTTCCCGGGGTAAGCCAAATGAGAACAGCTGGTTCCCGGGGTAAGCCAAATGAGAACAGCTGGTTCCCGGGGTAAGCCAAATGAGAACAGCTGGTTCCCGGGGTAAGCCAAATGAGAACAGCTGGTTCCCGGGGTAAGCCAAATGAGACAGCTGGTTCCCGGGGTAAGCCAAATGAGAACAGCTGGTTCCCGGGGTAAGCCAAATGAGAACAGCTGGTTCCCGGGGTAAGCCAAATGAGACAGCTGGTTCCCGGGGTAAGCCAAATGAGAACAGCTGGTTCCCGGGGTAAGCCAAATGAGAACAGCTGGTTCCCGGGGTAAGCCAAATGAGAACAGCTGGTTCCCGGGGTAAGCCAAATGAGAACAGCTGGTTCCCGGGGTAAGCCAAATGAGAACAGCTGGTTCCCGGGGTAAGCCAAATGAGAACAGCTGGTTCCCGGGGTAAGCCAAATGAGAACAGCTGGTTCCCGGGGTAAGTCAAATGAGAACAGCTGGTTCCCGGGGTAAGCCAAATGAGAACAGCTGGTTCCCGGGGTAAGCCAAATGAGAACAGCTGGTTCCCGGAGTAAGCCAAATGAGACAGCTGGTTCCCGGAGTAAGCCAAATGAGAACAGCTGGTTCCTGGGGTAAGCAAAATGAGAACAGCTGGTTCCCGGGGTAAGCCAAATGAGAACAGCTGGTTCCCGGGGTAAGCCAACTGAGACAGCTGGTTCCCGGGGTAAGCCAAATGAGAACAGCTGGTTCCCGGGGTAAGCCAAATGAGAACAGCTGGTTCCCGGGGTAAGCCAAATGAGACAGCTGGTTCCCGGGGTAAGCCAAATGAGAACAGCTGGTTCCCGGGGTAAGCCAAATGAGAACAGCTGGTTCCCGGGGTAAGCCAAATGAGAACAGCTGGTTCCCGGGGTAAGCCAAATGAGAACAGTTGGTTGCATGGGCAAGGTCGCATGGTGAGCGTGCATGGTGGTTCCCTTTCTTTCCTTCCATTTGATTTCCGCACAGCATCGCATAGCACAGCATCGCACAGCACAGCATCGCACAGCACAGCATCGCACAGCACAGCATCACACAGCACAGCATCGCACAGCACAGCATCGCACAGCACAGCATCGCACAGCACAGCATCGCACAGCACAGCATCGCACAGCATAGCATCGCACAGCACAGCATCGCACAGCACAGCATTGCACAGCACAGCATCGCACAGCACAGCATTGCACAGCACAGCATCGCACAGCACAGCATCGCACAGCACAGCATCGCACAGCACAGTATCACACAGCACAGCATCGCACAGCACAGCATCGCACAGCACAGCATCGCACAGCACAGCATCGCACAGCACAGCATCGCACAGCACAGCATCGCACAGCACAGCACAGCATCACACAGCACAGCATCGCACAGCACAGCATCTCACAGCACAGCATCACACAGCACAGCACAGCATCACACAGCACAGCACAGCATCACACAGCACAGCATCACACAGCACAGCATCACACAGCACAGCATCACACAGCACAGCATCACACAGCACAGCATCACACAGCACAGCATCACACAGCACAGCATCACACAGCACAGCATCGCACAGCACAGCATCGCACAGCACAGCATCGCACAGCACAGCATCACACAGCACAGCATCGCACAGCACAGCATCGCACAGCACAGCATCACACAGCACAGCATCGCACAGCACAGCATCGCACAGCATAGCATCGCGCAGCACAGCATCGCACAGCACAGCATCGCACAGCACAGCATCGCACAGCACAGCATCGCACAGCACAGCATCACACAGCACAGCATCGCACAGCACAGCATCACACAGCACAGCATCGCACAGCACAGCATCGCACAGCACAGCACAGCATCACACAGCACAGCATCGCACAGCACAGCATCACACAGCACAGCATCGCACAGCACAGCATCACACAGCACAGCATCGCACAGCACAGCATCGCACAGCACAGCACAGCATCTCACAGCACAGCATCACACAGCACAGCACAGCATCACACAGCACAGCACAGCATCACACAGCACAGCATCACACAGCACAGCATCACACAGCACAGCATCACACAGCACAGCATCGCACAGCACAGCATCGCACAGCACAGCATCACACAGCACAGCATCGCACAGCACAGCATCGCACAGCATAGCATCGCGCAGCACAGCATCGCACAGCACAGCATCGCACAGCACAGCATCGCACAGCACAGCATCGCACAGCACAGCATCACACAGCACAGCATCGCACAGCACAGCATCGCACAGCACAGCACAGCATCACACAGCACAGCATCGCACAGCACAGCATCGCACAGCACAGCATCGCACAGCACAGCATCACACAGCACAGCATCGCACAGCACAGCATCTCACAGCACAGCATCACACAGCACAGCACAGCATCACACAGCACAGCACAGCATCACACAGCACAGCATCGCACAGCACAGCATCGCACAGCACAGCATCGCACAGCACAGCATCATACAGCACTCCATCGTGTTGAACCCCATGTACCCCTGCTGCATCTCCTTCGTCCTTGTTCCATCCTCTCTCCATGCACCACACGCCACTCCCCTCAAACTTTTCAAGTGCGCATCTGTGCTGCACTGCAGCGCACTCCCCAACTTATGAGCTTTTCCCTCTCCCCACCTTGCGCTGTACCCCCTTTGTTGTGTCGCGTCGCACCTGACCGCCCCACCGCTCCCCACCCTCTGGCACTGGCGCAGGTACGCGTGGACCATAGCACACTGTGGGCGTTGCGGCATGCACGTGGGCTGGCGCTTCACTGCTGTGCGCCGCGGCCTCAACCCGCCCGCCTTCTGGGGCGTGCGCCGCGCACAGCTCACTGCTGACACCACCCAGGCCGACGCTGATCTTGATGCCTGAACCTGAATCGCAACCCCGCTTGTGCCTGCTGCTGCAGCTGCTTTCCAGCACTCCCCAGTCCATCTCAAGCTTATGTCTCTTGTTCTTGTGAATAATGGACTGCTGAAGAAGGGAACACGCAATCCAACATGCAATCCAACACGCAATCCAACACGCAATCCAACACGCGCGATCCAACACACGCGATCCAACACGAGTGATCCATCCAATGCACGACCCATCTAACGCGCGATCCATCCAGCGCACGATCCAACGCGCGATCCAACACGCATACCAACACGCAATCCAACACGGTATCCATCACGCAATCCAACACACAATCCAACCCGCTATCAATCCAACACGCAATCCAACACATGATCCAACACGCGATCCAACACGCGATCTAACACGCGATCCAATACGCAATCCAACAATCAATCCAACAATCAATCCAACACGCAATCCATTGCGCAATCCAACACGATCCAATCGCATTCCAACGCGCAATCCAACATGCACTCCGACACGCAATCTAACATGCAATGCAACATGCAAGCGTACATGAAACTTTGGGGCTCCATCTGGCCATAAAATGGGACGTGGGGGCAGGGGATGCTGGATTACTTGGG